GCAAGAGTATGCCCTCCAACATGGCGGCCAATACAAATCATACTACTTTGTTGAAAAATCAAAGTGCCATAAAATATCTCCCTTAAATGCGTTTCCTCTCAAATTTCGGGTGTAAGATAATTCTTATGTGCTCTGTCAATTTTTGGCATCAGCAAGATTCCAACTCATCGTTTAAAGGAAGCATTGGTCACGTGACTTCTTAGTGCAACTGGCCTAAAAACATTTCAGTTTTAATTCTTTTTGTCTACAAGTTGATGACGGAAGCTGTAAACATAACAGAGAAACTTATTCCAGGAAATGCTTTTGAACACAAAAAAAAAGAAACCCGGGTTAAGCGTTAATCGACCTTCGAACAACTGGGCCCAGGAGTCTCAGGGGTCAGAGGACTAGAATTTCTGATAGTGCACCAAACCCTCCCGGCCAGCCCCTCCAGCACGATATTCGATGTGTGTGAACGACTTTGGTCCGCCCCAGGCCGTTGCTGTTCACACTATACAGTCCATACAGGATAGCTTTCGTGGAGCCCTCCCCCCTCCCCCTCCCCTTTTTGCGCCTGCCACGCAGGCTAGGAGCCACGAAAAGCCATGCAATAGGGACTTTAAGATCCAACGACGCGGACGGCAACGAGAACGTAAAAAAACCAAAAGGTTTAATAAACAAAACAACAAATTTGCACGTGCATCACGCTTTTTTATACATTTCTTTCCTGTTTTTGCACGACTTCGACGTGAAAATGCCTAATTTCGCGTTTTATGTGGGATGTAAACAAGCATCGAAGAAATTTTATTTCTCTTTCTGAGCTTGGATATGGTCACTTGAAACTCAGCTTCAGGAGACCTCAGGACGGTTCGCCTACATTTGACATAGTAAGAGGGTAGGAATAATCGCTATAAAAAGTGAAAGAACGCAAATTCACTTTTTAAGCGACGTTCTCGTTGTCGCGCGTCGCGTCGTTGGATCTTAAAGTCCGCTGACGACGACGGTCGTGTGTTTACATCCCTCATGAACGTCATATGAGGAAACTTCACGTGGCAGTCCTCCAGCGACACTAAAGTAAAAGACTATATGTGAGTGTATTGCACGTGCAAATTTTATTGCTTTGCTTTTTACACCTATTACTTTTTTTTAATATTTCTTTGCTAAAAATTCGTCGTCGTTGCTAGCCGAGAGACAGATCCTGAGACAGAAAAAAAAATTGTTTCAATTCCAGCTTAGCTAATTCCGGTAACTTCAGCTGCTAGTTGTTTGCCTGGGGCCAATAAAACTAAAAATTAACTGAGTTTGAACTAACGGTCTTGGAAGTCTGATAGTCTAGAGGATTCTGTTTTTTTTTAGTATTTGTACGACGAGATCATCTGTGTTGGGGCGGTCAAATTCATTTGCCCAAGCATACATATTTGAAAATTAACGACACCAATCTACAGTTATTCGCTGCATCATGTTGTCGGTATCTCGAATTTGCTGGTCATGATTTATTCTTCATGAGTTGCCACTATTACATTTCTGTACTAATGATTCGCTGATTATGAGTATCATACTATTTTTTGTCAAGTCGATCTGACTCAGATGCAAAAGATGCTTTAAATTAAAGCCTTATAAACTCAGACTCTACATCAGCTCAATGTATAAAAGATCAGTGGTTTCATTCCCGGGGCCAAGGGGTACAGCTGTAACCTGTAATTTCAGCTGTACTGCCCGAGGAATTTGAAATTCATTTGAAATACTTTTTTCAGTTTGGTAGTAAGTTTAACGGTCTCTGTTGACAACTTATCGTAGGGCCATAGCCAGAGGAGTATTTTAATTAGGGAATTAGTATTAGAAAAAAATAAAACATTTGTTTCGTATTCTTTTGCTATGCATCATCACCCCGGCAAATATTTATATTTTTCTTTCGCACGTGAAAAGAAAATTCACAATCTTTGCCTCAGCTCGCTTCATACTGGTTACGGCTCTGCATCGACAATAACTTTTTTTGTCGGCTCGGGTACACGCCTGCAGAGTTAGATCAAACTTGCATGCACTGAAGAATGAAACAAATATTTCGGTCATAATTAGTAACGGTGCAGCCTTGATTAACGGTGAAAACGTTCTCCCGCTGGTCTATTCATCGAGAACAAACGGCACTAAATCCCTTATCAAAAAAAATCTTTTATTGCTTTTCTGGCGAGCCAGGGAGTCTTGTTTTGTCATAATAATTGAGTCTTTTGAATACAGTCACAGTACATAAAAAATAAGCCGTATATGCGCAAATCGAAATTGTTATGATCACTTTACTATCATCCTGGAACTGACTAGGAATGTCCACGGTTGTGCGTTCTCCAAGAACAAAGCTGCTTACTGGCTACAGTACATCTCAGTAGAGGGAACTGTTCAAAATGGACGAAGACTTGAATCAAATGTGCAATGATCCGTAATTAAGCTAGCTCCTCCCCTGTAAATTACTTTAATTATAGAATTAAAGACGTTTTAGCAAGAAATCATGCTTAGTAGGAGATAACATCCATGTTACTGAGTTGCTAACTAGTCAGCCCACGCCAGGTCTTCGATTCCAACAGCCTTAACGGTGAAAATGAATTTAATCTACATGCTTCGATCGATTCCTGTTGTGTTCATTCTTTACCCTTAGGCGCTAAAGGAAGATTACGTACTTAGAGCCCTGGATGCACTTATTGACTGAATAAGCAATCTGATTTTCATATAATTCGATTGCAATACTTTCCGTTCAAGCAGCAATCATCAGTTTTCATTTTCTGCACGAGCCCCGGAAAGATGAGGTTAAAGGGACAAAAATAATATAATTTTGTACTGATTTAGATTGGCCCTAAAACGTAGTTAAACTTTTTCTGACCACGAAGCCGCTTCATGATTTCATGCACTAATTGATCCGACTCAGTCTCTGTTCTTTTGATAACTCAGGGGCACCCAACGGCAATTTTCGGGAAAATATCTGTTCGGAAGACGATTTGAGAACTAGAATTTTCGGAACATTTGTTGTAAAATTTCTTGCTTGCCTGCCTCTCCTAGGATTTTCGAACATCTACAAAATGGTATAATTACCCATTTTACACGGATATTTACCCTAAAAAAGGCCACCTAGAATTTTCGGGAGCCTTTTCCTGGCTGAAATTTTCGAAAAGGTAAGTTTTGATCCCTATAATTTTCGGATCACTAGACTTTCAGCTAGGAAATCCGAACAGATGAAAAGTTTTTAGGGGATGAAAATATGCCTATATCTACCGTTTAAATACTAAAATACGTTCAACAATGCTATGTTAAGTGGTTTTGAACTATATCCTCGTTGGGTACCCCTGATAACTCGTGAAGACGAGAAATTCCTTTCCATTTCTGTTCCATTTAAGGGTTTTGATCTTAGTAAACTGAAACGAAAGAATAAAAAATCTGAAAAATACTATTGCTGACAGTCAATAGGATTGGCATATAGCAACATATTTTACCGGCTGTTGAGACATCAGACCGTCTCTATCTGCCGCAAAAACAATGATATAACTCTGGGCTTGGAGACAGCTCAAGGGGCAGACGTGATCCTGTCTGAAGTGTGTATGTCATGAAAGCAAATTGTACCGGGGGACACGCTTATAAGCAACAATCAAAGCGTGCAATTTCTTGTCCATTAAGTATTAATCTCCCCTTGTTTTGAATTTTTCCATTGAGACGCGGCTCGCCCAAGAGGATTAGGATTGTTAAGTGTCCTAGTGTTGCATTGTTTTTACGTGCGTACAAGGCCTATAAAACAAACCGCTTAGGAATTTATCAGCACCTAAAGCTTGGATGAAATTTACGTAAATGATACCACATTCTTCCCGTATCTTTACTGAAATATTTTATCGTGGTTAACCTCATCGATTTGGTATTGGCTGTTAGAGAAAGTCAACAAGTTTTCAACATGCATAATCCGCCAACATTGTAACGGTCTAGCGGTTTTCTTATGTTGAAAAACTTTAAAATAACTTCAACAAAGTTTACCACTGTATTTTTGAGTGGTAAAATGCCTGGCCGGCTTCGTCTAACCGCGACTAAATTCAGTTTTTGTTTGTGGTTAGTAAAAAACTTTTCAAAAGTAACTTCGTGTGAATGTCTAAAGCATCAAGAGGCAATAAACGCCCACGTCAAAATGACAGCAAGACCAATTATCGGCTTGCTTTATTCGCGTGCGAAACAAGTGCAGTCTCACTAAAAAGATGAGGCTTTTTTTCTTTAAAACGAATTGACAGATAACGGGATATGAATTTTTATAACAGACTAGGGTCGACATTTTGCAATCAATCGCTTGTGTTGATATTTTAAATTATTTTTTTCTTTACTTCTTTTCAAGTGTTTTTTTTTATTATATTGGATGTACCTTTTGTTTCTTTCAAATGCAAATATTTTGTTTTTCTTCGGGGCTTCGCTGGGTGATTGTCATTAAGGGACGGACCATTAGAAAAGTTATGGGGGGGGAGGGGAATTTTCGACCTGCAGGAATTTTTTTTCGTTACCAAATTCTTTGTATGAATTTTTTTCAGGCCCTTGCATGAATATTTCTTAGGGGTTAATTGGCTTGCAAGAATTTTTTTTCATTTAATTTTCCCTTGCGCGAATTTTTTTTTTGTACTTCGCCCGCCCCCCCCATAAGTTTTCTAATGGTCCGTCCCTAACCTTCGATTGTCAAACTCTTTCGTGTCGAGTTGTCGAAGCGTGCTATCGTATTTTTAATAATTAACCAATCCTAACACTCAGTATATACCACGTGACGGAAACGCCATTGTCATGTTATGAACATTATGGTTCTTGGGTTGTTTCCGTTTGAAAGTTTGAAAAATCCGAAGAATTGTTCCCCTCAAGGAAGCACAGATACGTGTCGATGATTGTCATGTCCTTGGATATAAGTCCGCCTATGTCATTTGTACGGAAGTATGCGTAGCATATTTCATGTGCGATGTTCGAAGCCGCGATTTGACCCGCGCGCGATTTTATGATTGACTGGCCGTCGCGAGGAGTAACTTCATTGTTTTTTTTTTCATCTGGGTGAAAGTTAGGGTTTTTCGAACGCAGCTTCCTCAAGATTGAATTACATTTAGATCTATTGCTGAAAGATAGGGAAAGCTACACAAGTCTTCAACTATTTTCCA